TATATATATATATATACATATATATGATGCGTATGTATATGGACATAAGTATATACGTGCATGCATGCGTGCGTGCGTCGTCTCGTGCGCCGTGTTTAATGCCATACCATCAAATAGAAATACAATATATGTTCATGTGATGGATTTAGACGAATTTAACGTAACACGAAAAAAATCGATTGATTCTCGTGTAAAAATTCGTCGCTCGATCTCGCTAGTGTGATACGTAGCTTGACTAAAAAACGGCACGCTTTTTATACGCTCAATTATTATACACTAGTAATTTATTAATTTGTAAAACTACATAATGTAAAAATATTCGATCAGTCATCGATTATGTTGCTCAGAATATATCTTTGCTGCAATATCGATTTTTACACTTTCAGTCTAGAAACGCATCTAACCTAAAAGCGCTACGCTAAACGTAGCTACGTAACGCTTTTCAATTTGTGAATAATTAGAATTATCGTTGTTTCTTTCACGACGCACTGCACATTCGACACATATACAAGAATATTCGCATTTCGGCACACAAATACCACACGTATATACAAACGTACATATACACGTACACGAGCGCACATACGTATAATGTATGCAAAATCGCCATCTGAATTTGATCTCAAGGATCTTTCTACGTGTTATTGTTAACAACAGCAAACTATCGAATTTAACGCTTAAGATTAATTCAAGGTGTAACACCGATCACAATTTTCATCGCTTTCAAAAGATTTCCGACTAAGTCGATACAAAAATTCCGTCAAAAATATCGCTGTTTTATGGATTCTATGAGAATTCAACATTATATTCCGGTGTCTTGCTCCGATTGAATTTCTATGCGATGATCAATGATATATCATAAAATAAATAAAGAAAAAAAAGAATAAATAAAGAAAAAAAAAAGAAATGATTAATTTGAATAGATATATGGTAAACGAAAAAAATAGTAATATGAATAAAGATAAAAAATCATCACATTTAACATTCAATTAGAAAAATAATATCTATTAGTAATTTTCATTAAATGCAATATTATTAGAAGACAATTATAGAGAATTCATTAAATTTTTTATCGTTAAATTTTTTTTCTAGAGCAGCCATAATACCATAATCGAAAGACACCGGATATAAATAGAGTTGAGGACGCTTGACGCATCACGGATTTCGAAGCAACAGTATTACGTACTCTATACATATTTACTCGTGCAAAATAGTCATAAAAATAACATTCAATGTTAAATGTCAATAAAAATTTAAAAGTAATATTAATTGATTACGCTTTCGAGCGTCTTGTCGGTTCCTCTATGTATGTATATTATACATATATGAAAACATTGCGATGCATGAGTCAGAGTCGAATCATGTGAGAACGAATTTATACGCAAAGATAGTGAATTCGATATATTCATCGTAGAATCGTTGTTGTACATAATAAGAAAGAAAAATAAATAAATAACCAACGACAAGTATCGATATTGAAGAGAATAATTTAACTGTAACATGAGAGAAGTTTCTCTCGATAAGAATAATGTTTTATATGCTCATCATATATTCTTGAAAATGGGGAAATCTCTCTTGTAGAACTTCAATTTTTTCCTTTTTTCATTCTGCATTACAACCAATCGAATAAGAAGAATTAAATAAAATAGCAACCATTGATCTATTTTTAAATTTTTGACATTTTGAATTTTATTGGGATCTGAAACAAAATTGAATCTAAAAAACTAAATATAAACATCTATTTTATGTTATTTACATTTGTATTGATAAATTATAATAATATATATATATAATAATATAATAATATATTTGGCAGTTTTTGATATGAAAAAAAATTTTATAAATAAAAAACGAAGCAATAAACAGATCTTGAAAATATAAGATTTCGAAAAAAATTGAGATAAGAAATAAGAAAAAAAAAATAAAAAAAAATAAAAAAGAAATAAAAAGAAGAAATAGAAATAAAAAGGAGTAAATAGTAAAAAAAAAAAGTATGTATTTAAATTAAATTAAATTTAGATTATTAAATTTAGATTAGATTTAAATTAAAATTTTTGATTAATATTCTAAATGTAATATACAAATATCAGATATATTTGAACCTTTATTCCGGTTTTAATCGATGCCATTGTACGATTGTTTGTCGTGGCTTCGTAATCATATCTTGCCAATGTTTTGTTTCGCTTGCTCCACTTCCGTTTTTTCCTGAAAGTTAACGAAATATTATTATCATTATTTGATATAATCGTATAAATACACATATAAATTAATCATTATTAGTGTTAATCAATATTAAATTTGTATAAATAATTGAGCTAATCGATTGACTATACTATTCAAAAAAGAATCATTTTACCTGCAAGTTGAATTCGTCCAATCAATTCATTTCGACCAATGTTATCAAAGTCCATTACCATTACGTCTAACGAGCATTCGCGAATTTTTTCCCATGGTACATTGAATGAGAAAGCTTCATTAAATACTGGATTTAAAGTACATTTAAATATAGGAGTTTTTCGTTTTTCAATTCTCTTATCTCCAAATTGTAACCATACTTTTACGTACGGATCTAAATATAAAAACCGAAGAAAAAATTAAATTTCATCGTTAAGTTTTTCTCTGATTCGCAGTTTCTATTGGTTTTTATTGGTTCTGTAGAAGAGAAATAACATAAAAAGGAAATATATTGAAAAGACATTATAAATTTCTTTAAAAGTCTACTTAAAACGATTATCTTTTTATTTTATAGCGATATTCATGTATATGTATATCTAAACAGGTATTTATTCAAGAATAATAACATAAATTGTCTGTATCTTTCACTTATTATAATTGTTAATTAGATTTTCCATTTATAATTATCATTTTTATAATTATTTTTTCAAAATTTTATTTTATTACTAAATATGTATCCATTGCATATTAAAAAATTCTTCTTAAATATTTTTCTTCACTTTTTTTAATTCAAATATAACACAAAAAAATAATACAAAAAAAAATATAAGAAGTAATAAATAATATAAAATAAATAATGCAGTAAAATAATACAAAAAAAAAGTTCAATAGATCAATTACAAAATCTTTTAATATAGCCAAATTATACTTGTTAATATTAGCTAGATTAATTAAATAAGTTATCTTAGAAATTATTTTATTTGTTAAGTTAAATGAATCAAATATTAGTAATAGAGAAATATTTATTATAAATACATTTTCTTTCAAATTATTTAAAAATTTTGGCAAAAATTTTAATAATATTACAGATTTAATCAGTATCCAAGTTAGAAGACTGGCAATATGTGTATATAATATACATATACATTAAAAAAATTGTAAAAAAATAAAAAAAAATTTAATCCAGACTGGTTTAAGAAAAAAAGACAATATATTGTGATTTGAATAATAATATTTAATAAAATAATACTATACTATAATAATAATAGTATAATACTTGAAAAAAATAACACCTCTTTTATAAATTTCACTATTTTTTTCAATACAATCAATGTATGAAAAACTTTTTTAAAAAACGAAAAAAAAAAACACATGAAAGAGATTAATAGTATTACATACATTTATAGTTAAATATGATTTTTCCAATGTTATCAATTTAATAATCTCTTTCCTAGTTTTTTTTACATCTTATTCGAATCAACAATAACAAAAATATTCCTTTCATGCCATTTCTTTACTATATAAAGAAATGATGATTTCCTTACCTGATTTCCCATTAATATCCTTTGCTTTCAAATTTCTAGCTTTCAAAAGTGTCAAAGTCAATACGGAATTACTCGGATGATAACATAAAGAACACAATAATTCTCCACATTTATCTTTTGCTGGAGGTTTTAAAGCTTTCCAGAACGAAGGTTTGTCCGAAAAATCGACCTATTAAATGATCATTGGATAATTTCTAAATAATTTGAAAGGAAAAAGAATCGATAATCCAATAATGGAAGTTACCTGACATAGCGGAAGAAACATTTCTCCAATGGAATCATCTCTTGAAAATCGATCGTAATCAAATACATGTAAATGTAACACTCGACTTTGTAACTTTTGAATTGGAAAACCTAAATAATAAAAAAAATAATAAAAAATGAAAAAAAAGATAAAATAATAATTGTAATAATATAATATAATATTTAATATAATTTTCAACGCGATCACTGAAAAAAATAGAATTTATCAAACCTATTTTAATTCGATATTTACCTTCGAAATAAAATGTTTCGTTCCATCGAGGATTTAGCGTGCGTCTTTTTATCTTCGTTTCAAGTCGGTGTTTTTTGTCCGGCAGAAGAGTTACACGAACGTAAGGATCAGACGTTCCGGATAAGTCCTTTGCTGGCAAATCCTTACCCTAAATCCAAAGAATAAACTTTGTCTATATAATGTAATAATTGTCTTGTAATATCAATATATATATTAACCTGTATAATACGTAGGATAAGCGTAGTATTTTGAAAATCATATTCCAGACTAAAATGAATTTGACCAACGTTTTCGCTGGGCTCCGAATTATCAATATACATGTCCACTAAAGACATCGATCTATTTTGTAGGAATGCTTTCTAAAATAATAATGAAGATATTTTTTATAAAGAAAAAAATAATTATTCATGCAAAAAAAAAAAAAAAGAAAATATGAACAATACATACGGAAGGATGTTCTCCTTTGACATTTTGCAATTGTTTATTTTGTACTCCAATCGTCGATGTACGAGATTCAACTGTTCCACTGGCCACATTTCCGGTACCAACATTCGCCCCGATGCTGATACCACTGGTCCCTGCATTTACAGTGCCAATGCCAGATACAGTGGCGCCTGCTCCAGATCCAGATCCGCTACTTCCCGTGGCTACTCCGCTTGTCGTCAAGTTATTCGCACCGACACTTGTCCCACTATTTCCGCCTGTACCACTTCCACTTGCCGATGATGCTGGTTTATTCGCTGGACTACCGGTTGTTCTACGACAAAATCAATTGACAACCATCTTTTTAAATCTCAAAATCCAAATATACACAATGCTATTCATTCCCATGTTTACGTTTTAGTTGTCATTATCACCATTATTATCATTATCATTATTATTATTGTCACCATCAATATCATTATTATTATTATTATTATCATCAATATCAATATTATTATCATAGTCTGATAATGACAATGATATTGTGACGTCATCATTGCTGTTATTGTTAATGTCACCGTAATTGTCATGCCATATATATTTATGTTTCAGTTTCGTTTTTTCGTTTTTCACGAAAAAAAATTATTTCTCTATCTTACATCATCTCGATTTTGTTTCACGTGCATTTATCAACTACGATGAAATCTAAAGCATTTATGATGCATACAATTTTGGCATAGCTGAAGCAATCATGAGATTATACGATTTTGTCGTTGAAAGCGAACGACGATCGTAACAACTACAAACTATGATAGATTCTGAATATATTTAATGTAAATATATTTATATGTATCGCAATTATACAATGGCTATGTTTATCTTATACAATTTAATATAATTTATATAACCTATATAATTTAATATAACCTAATATATAACTAAATATATAAGTAATATATATAACTTAAATATTCAAATTTAAACATTTGCAAGAATACAGAAAAGTAATTATATTTCAAATCATTGGAATATACATTGTCAAAATTTTAAATAAATATTACGATTTTATTATTTTATTATTAAAGATATTTTGATAATCAATTTCGAAAAAAAAAGATTAATTTTCTGTTTGTCTCCCATTCTCTCTTTTTTTCTCTTGTTTCTTTGTTTTTAACGTTCAATTTCTTGTCTAATTAATCTTGATAAAAAATATTAGAGAGAATTAAGAGAGTATTTCGAGGAAACAGCGGATATAAAAGTAATAATTTTTTATAATTGTTAAATTTTCTAGAAAAAACGTCTAAAATTTATATGTTAACATTGTTTGACAAAAAAAACGAAAGACTATTGTTTGAAATGAAAAAACAACTTAAAATCGAAGAAATTGGAGTTTAGATTTGGGAATTTTATTTCAATTGAATTACTTACGCAGATAAAGCAGCGCCCATCCGCGAATAAGATATTTCCATTAGGAAGAAGAATTGAAAGAGAAGATAGAAGAGTCAAGTGAAGCAATATGAGAAAAGATCAATTAAAAATTTTTTATTATTCTTTAACTGATATACTTACTCCAGTTGCGCTCTGGATTCCAATAGTAACCCCAAAAGGATGCATGAAACACAAAAAATTAAAATAGAATTTTATGAATTTTAAATCTTAATCTCGAATTCGACGAAAAAAAATGAAATACAAAACATAATAAAAAATTGTTCAAATTCAACAGAACCACAAATATTTTTCTTGATATCATAAATCAAATATTCTTTGCTTTCGTTTTTATTTTAAAATGACTCGATTTATATCATTTGCAATAGTAATAAATTTAAAAAAAAAAAAAAAGAAGAAAAAAACCTAATTAAATAACAAGAAAGTTAGCGAATTGTATGAAGGAGGGAAACAGAAGGAGGGGGATAAAAGACAGATTAAAGACATAGAAACAGAGAGAGAAAGAGATAGAGAGAACGTACCCATTTCACGAGTCATTGTTCAGACAAACATACTCCATCACGCCTTATGTTTGCAAATCTTTATCGAAAGGATCATTATCATGCTAATTTTATTCCTAATTTAAGTTGCCGAGTTAATACACATTTCTTACCTGGTAGTGTAATATTCGAAGAAGGCAACCAGTATTTCCAAAGATCTCGTGACTGCAGCCCACATGATTTTATTGTTCCGAGTGTCTTTAACCACGATTATTGCGTGAATGCGTTCACATTCCCGTTATTAAGTTTTAGATATAATCTATTTGAATAAAAAAAAAAAACGAGAAACAAAACTCTTTCTATTTATATATGCATTTTTTATCTCTTCTTTAGGTTTTAATTTTTTTCTTCTTTTTTGAATATAGATGTTTGATATAGAATTTTTTGAATTAAGTATTTTTTTTTCAAATTACAAAACTTGATATTCTATTTGATCTAATTTTTAATATTTTGATATAAATTTTATTTATATATAAACAATAATATAATAACATTGATAACATTTTATTTAAGTTATATGTTTCATTACTTATATTCTTATATCGAATTTAATTCGGATAAAAACATTTGCAATTCGAAATTATGAATATTTTATATTTGCAAAAATTTGCATCACGACATATCATTTTAAGGTATATTTGGCATCTATGCATAAAGTTTTTCGATTAAAAATACTTCAAATGAAATAATTACTATTATTGCGCGTACTCACAGCTTTCAATGTTCACGAATATAGAAAAAATTAAAGAACAATAATCAAACAAATTTAAAAATGTATAAGTTTTTAAGAAACTTAAAAATTTAGTTAGTAAAGAACTATAATAATAACAGTCGATAGTATTTCGAAAAAATCCCAGAAATTTATTCGATTATTCAGTTATTCAGTTATTTCAGTTATTCGGTTAGCCCGTTAGTCGGTTAGTGGATGGAGGGGTTAAAAGAAGGGGATACGATCGATCTTAGCTACATTCGCTGGTATCACTGCCATTGTTCACGCCATCGCCGACGTCATAATCACCGCCACTACTGTCATCGTCAACAACTGAGATAGCCATCACTATTATCTCAATTCATTATATTGTTACTGTTTTTGTTATCAATCACCAGAAATAACTTGATTATTATTACCATAACGTTGCTGAATAGCAGCAGCGTGACCAGCGACAATCATGCGACACGTGAACGAAATTAAATATACATTATTGATTCCTATACGAAGACTACGTTAGATTAATCTTCTGATATTATTGATATTCAAGAAATAGAGAACAAAATTTCAAAGCTAATAGAAGATATATTAGGTCACGCAATAATGTTTGCAAAAATCGATGAATAAGGCGCGCGCATACTGAGTACGTATATATTTTTGTTACGATTAAATAACAAGTAATATCAAAACAAAATTCGTTTTTTCATCTATATATATTATCTCCGTATATCAGTCTCTTCTTTTCGTCATCATTCTCTTTGAAACTTGTTATTCAAAATGTCATTTAAATGCCAAAACTATTGATTGATTCATTACTAATAATAATAATCATGTTTGTCATAATAGCAAAATTCTATTTCTTGAAATTTTCTTTTTTCTTTTTTTGTAAAGCGAATTATCTATATTCCATAACTTCTTTTTTTTTAAATTCCTTTTAATTAAAAATATTAGTAACGAAAAGTGCATTTGATAGGAAAGAAAATTGTAAGAGAAGCGATCGATTGAAACGCACGCGCATGATAAAGGTAAAAGTTCCTGGCCGTGATATAGCTCGGTCAATGCCGAAGAATATTCAAGCAACAGGTTCCCAGTCGATGTACACGCGGACTATAAATTTTATGAGAAAATACAAAAATATTTTTCTTTTTTTATCATCGCATATTAATTAAATTTAAATATTTAAAACTATTTTGTTTTTCTTCCACTATGAACTAATCACATATTCATGATGAAATAATATCACTTCCTCAACTAGAGAATATCAATCAAAATATCAATCATGAAATATTATTTGAGTAACAAGATTTTATTGTGGAAATATATTAGATATTTTATACACATTCTGCATTTTTTAAAAAAGTATTTTACTACTATTATTACTATTCTTATTTATTTATCAATGCAAAATACTTCAAGTATTATCAAGATATAGTACTTTGTATATATTGTATTTTAATAATTTTTTATTTTGAAAATTTTATATGAAAAAGAAGACAGAAAAAAAATAGAAATATAGTATGTAATATATGTAATATAGAAAGTAATTGCAAGCAAAGCAATTGCAAAGAGAAAGAAAATAAATCAAGTAAAAAATGCTTTAAAAAAATTAAGAAAAAAGAAAAACTTATTTATTAAATTATAAACAATTTAAGTTTGTGTTAAATAAAATAGACAAAGATAGAATGAAACTGCTTTATTTTTCTTTGCCGTTTCATCTAATGCAAATTTAAATAACTAATTTAATAAATAAGCTTAACTTAATAAATAAATCGACA